GCTTCTCGACGTGATTGCCGATAAAGACTGGTTTGTGAGGAAGGCGGCACGGGAAGCACTAAATAACATGGGTGAAACAGGTAAAATAAAAACAGTGATTGAACACATCGTGCGTCAATTAGGCCATGATATCCCAACTACCGAGAGTACCTATGTTGACCGTGCTGTAGCTACTGTGAAAAATGTTGATGATGAAAATCCAATTGTTCGCGAAAATGTACATGAGCATTTAAGTGACGTACATGGAGCGTGGGAAGCAATATCCGAAATGTGTGATGGAAAAATGAATACTAATCTGCTCGATACCCTGGTGGCAGCGACTCGCAGTGAGAATGCATATATTCAACGCCGTGCGTGTCAAGCGCTTGCTAAAATGGGTGAAAAGGCAGCTTCGAAGGACACTATCGAAGCACTTATCCAAATCACTTTACTTGAAAATCCTGATATCACAGAGAGCGCACGTGAAGCTCTTTTGGAAATAAGCGGTGAAAAGATGCTCAACATCGTGATTGACGCTCTGTTCCGCGTTTTAAAAAGTGACGGAGACCGTGCTTGGAATAGCGTTCGAGCTACCCTCAACCTGCTGAGTGTAAGAAGCATAGGAAACGGCACGTTGCGAGTTTTGCTACAAGCAATTGTAGATGACTCTCCAAAAACGAAGGAGTACGCTTGTCGAACTTTTTCAATATTGGGTACTACAGCGGCTACCGATGATGTAATAAGAGCTATTGTGAAGGCAACAAAAGATGCGAATCAGAGTGTGCAAAAACAGGCTTGCAAAGCTCTGTTCAAAATAGGGGCAAAAGCGTCGACGCCAGATGCGATCAAAGCTCTCCCAGAAGCCACCAGATATGATGATGCAAATGTGAGAAGTGCTGCATACCGCGCTTTTCAAATATTGGATAAGCATCAAATCGACGATACAATAACGAAAGCACTTCTTAAAGCGCTTCATGATACTGATGACAAAGTAATATTATCTGTCTGTGAAAGTGTCACAGCACTTGGTGCAAAGGTTCCAGCAACTCCGCTGTTCTCTGCAATAGCGGACGCGAGCATCTCTGGGAAACCAAATATTTCTATAGCAATATGCAAAGCCCTGCGTTCAATTGGTACCACCAAACATTTTAGTCATGTGATCAAGGCGGTAATACATATGACTGAATCAGATGATGACTCTGTAGTAGCAACCGCGTGTGAGACTCTAGGCGAACTTTGCGATCCATTCTGCCGGACATTAGCGATTCGTAGCATAATAAAAGTAGCAGAGCACAGTTCTTCAAATGTTTTGAAATCCGCTGTCGAGACTCTCCTCAATCTTAGCCCATTGCACGCCGATGAGCAGCTCGTTGGAACAATTATCAAAGGTCTTGAGAAAACCGATCCGCACATACATTTTTGTCCGGCAATTCTCATACTTGAAATGAAAAAAATACCAGAGGATGAAAACATTTTTCAAATGCTTTTAAGTCAATCCACACAGCACACTGGTCTGAAAGCACAAACAGCACTCTACATCCTCATCAATCTTTCACAAACTACCAGCTGTAAAGCACTCGGTACCGCCATGGTTCGAGCTATAACAAACATCGATGCTAATGTGAGAACCAACGCATGCGAAGTACTCGCAAACATCGGAGAAAAGGCAGCAACCAAAGAAGTGATCGAAGCACTGATCAAAGCAATAGGGGATGAAAATAAGGATGTGAGAATTAAAGCTTGGTCAGCACTAAAACGGTTCACTCAAAAGGTAGCAACCAAAGAAGTAATCGAAGCACTTACCAAAGTCATTCGGCATGAGGTTCCAGATGTTAGAAAGAATGTTTGTAAAGCACTGGGTCATATGGGTGAGACAGCAGCAACTGAAGAAGTGATCAGAGCACTCACCGAAACTATTGGCGATGAGGTTCCTGATGTTAGGAAGAATGTTTACAGAGCCCTTGGGAAGATGAGTAAAAAGGCAGCGACCAAACAGATGATCGAAGCACTCACGAAAGGAATCGGGGATACCGATCTCTCTGCGAGACACTACGCTCAGGAAGCACTCATACATATTGGTCAGAAGGTAGCAACCGAAAAAGTGGTTGAAGCTCTCATGAAAACGATTGCGGATGAGAATGGCACTATGAAAAGTAATGCTTTGGTAATACTCGGGCGGATAGGTACGCAGGCAGCAACCGAAGAAGTGATCGAAGTTCTTATCAAAGCGATTGGCGATGAGACTTGCGATGTGAGAAGCAATGCTTGTACATCGCTCGGACAGATGGGTGAAAAGGCGGCAACAAACGAAGTGATCGAAGCACTCATCAACGCGATAAGGGATGAGAAGATGGCCGTACAATGGAGCGCTTCGAAAGCACTCGTACGGGTAGGTACGACGGCAGCAACCGAACAAGTAATCGAAGTTCTCATCAAAGCGATTGGCGACGAGACTGCCGACGTGAGGTGCAATGTTTGCAAATTGCTCGGACAGATCGGTGCGAAGGCGGCAACCAATGAAGTGATTCAAAAACTCACTAAAACGACTGGGGATAAGGTTCCAAGCGTAAGAAGCAATGCTTTGGAAGCACTTGGACGGATAGGTGAGAAGGCAGCAAACAAAGGAGTCATGGAAGCACTCACTAAAGCGACTGGGGATGAGGTTCCGGGAGTGAGAAGCAATGCTTTGGAAGCACTCGGGCGGATGGGTGAGAAAGCGGCAAACAAAGAAGTTATGAGAGCACTTGCAAAAGCGATCGGTGATAAGGACGTCCGTGTGAGGGCGATGGCGTGTAAATCACTGGGATGCATTGATATGAAGGCAGGGAACCAAGAAGTGATCGAAACACTCACCAAAGCGATTGCAGATGCGAATGACCATGTCAGGAAGGATGCTTTAGAAGCACTTGAACGGATTGGTGAGAAGCAAAAAAGCAAAGTGATTGAAGCGCTCACCAGAGCGACTGCGGATGCGAGTGGCTATCTGAGAAGTAATGCTTGCAAATCACTCGGGTGGATTGGTGAGAAGGCAACAACCAAAGAAGTGATCGAAGCACTCACTAAAGCGGTTGGGGATGAGGTTCTTGATGTGAGAAAGAATGCTTGCAAATCACTAGAGCAGATGGGTGAGAGGGCAGCAACCATAGAGGTGATCGAAGCACTCGTGAAAGCGATTGGGGATGCGCATGATTATGAAAGAACGAATGCTTGGCAAGTACTCGGACGCATGGATGGGAAGGTGGCAGCGGGAAAAGCGGTCGAAACACTCACCAAAGCGATTCGGGATGAGAATAAATATGCGAGAAGCAATGCTTGGTTGTCACTCGGATGGATAGGTGAGAAGGCAGCAACCAAAGAAGTGATCGAAACACTCACCAAAGCCATCGGAGATGATGTTCTTCTTGTGAGAAGGAATGCTTGGATAGCACTCGGACTGATGGGTGCTAAGGCAGCAACGAAAGAATTGATTGAAGCCCTCAGCAAAGCGATTGTGGATGAAGATCATGGTTTGAGGAGCAATGCTTGGTTAGCACTGGAACGCGTTGGTGAGAAAGCTGCAACGAAGCAAATGATGGAAGCGCTCACGAAAATAATTGTGGGTGTAAAAGGTGATGCATTAGAGAATACCCCCTTTGATTCCATCAGAGCATTTTTGTTGGCCGGTGATGATGAAAAAAGTAATGCTTGCATAACACTTGGACGGATGGGCGAGAAGGCAGCAACCAAGGAGGTATTCGACGCACTGATGAATGCGATTGGAGTTGATGATAATTATGTGAGAATTAATGCTTGCGAAGCACTCGGATTGTTGCATTACAATGCATCGGTTATGGAGTGCCTGCTGATGAGCATTACCCTGGATTCAGAGCGTTCCCATAACTGTGGCAGTGCTTTCGAGTGGCTTCTTGTACAGCCTTCATTCAGGAAATTCCACGAAAGGGTGATTCGTAATGTTACATTGAGGTTAATGGGAGTGGAACGGCTGTCATTGGGCATGGTGCCAGTGAAAGAACTATCCCTGTGTATCGTGGATCAGCCTGGCAATGATTGGTCGAATCTTGTAACGTTTATTTGCATCATTAATTGCGTCGCGGTGACACAAAACGGTGAAGGTATCGAGTTTGTCTCAGAAAAGGGACACGAGAAAGTTTCCTCGGCAGACGGAAGACTATGCGTAAAATTCGTGAAGGAATTAGTCGATTGGAAGAAGAAACAGGGATTATTGCAACAGGAGGATTTTGCTGGTTCTAGTGTATGTGTTTTACTCTAAAGTACTGGATGTGGTAGTTTCATGGTCGATGATGTTTAAATGGCCCAAAAACTGTTTTGCGAGGCGTAAAGAATCTATTCGAATCTAAGTGTGATTTTGCTTAATTAAGTGGAGTGGGGTGGGTGAGTCTGTTTTCGAAGAAGATAAATGTCAAGGAACAGTTGATGTTGGTCGTTTTCTAAATTGTTGATCAAGTATGTTCTGATTCGAATTCTACATGTATAAGAATAAATATATGTTTTTGAAATTACGATCTTTTAGAGTAGAAGTCAAAGAGTAGCAAATATGAGAAAGTGAGTTGTAGGCAAAACGTTTTATATGTACTGCTTCCCAGGAGAATGATTCCGATAGTAGGATATCATATCGAATTCGCGTCGGAATCTTATTGGAACCCTAGTGTTGGAATCCGATAGGTTCCAGTGTCGGAATTTAACGGAATCCGACATATGCATTCGACCCATGTGTTCTGTTGACATCGTATGCTTATTCATTGGTGATTAAGAAAATTGTTTTTTTCCGTCGGATCCGTTAGTTTGTCCTAGACCCGTAATCTAATCGAATTCTGTCAGTTTTTCGAATTCCATGAGATCCGATAGGATTCACTGTCGGATTCATTCACCTCGGTTTCAGTACATTTGATCTATGAATTCATTGATGCCAATTACATGATATTTCTTTATTCCAAGAAATAATCAAAATAAATGACTAGCTGTCTAATTCGAGTTCGAATATAAATGGAGAAAAAAACGTTAAACTAGAACTAAATCTAGGCATAGATTTATCTTTCGTTTAAGTTTCCGATATATGCGACATATCAATACATAGATACCTCTCATCCGCACCCACATTTGAAGTACCCCAGGTATCCCCGCACTCATTCCAGGTACCCCTCCTATCCACCACTCACTCCCACTGGCACCCACAGTTACCCCTTAGCCCCCCCCCCTATTAGGGGTGATATCTTCACCCTTCTCTTTATTGAGAAAAACGATAACTACTTAATAATAAACAAACCAAACGAAACGAGAAAACCAACACACATCTCTCTCTCTCCTCCCCCGAGAGGACAACAAGAATATATATGTATATATATATATGACGATAGATGTGGCGGATGACTAGAGATGCAAGAAGAATACATGAAAAGTGAATAATAGTATGTGAGGGCATCAGCCCGTAACAGTCGACCCCCTTGAATGAAGACGTGTGTCCGCACACGTGTTTGANATTCCAGTAAAATGCCTATGACTCAAGATAGAAGACCTAAGGAGATTTATCATACCTTACTGAACTCTACCTTATGTAAAAAATTCGAACTCAAAAGCTCTTTAACAGTTGAAAAAGTTTTTTTGTCATATGAAGAAAAGAAAAAAAATCAACTACAACAGCAATAATAAAAGAAGATAGAGATTATTCTTATTTACTTTAAACATCGTTTTAATATTGATGTAGATGCGCTTTTTTATTAAATATATTCAATTTTTATTGATATTGCTTATATGTTCATGTTAGTTATAAGCTTTACCTAAAATTCAAACAAAATATATTCATAGTATATTTTATTGTTTTTAATGCGATGCGAAGCAGAAGCATTTATGTAGTCCGTCGCGAGTTTTTTTTATTTTTTTATTTTTTTATTTTTACTCACTTGACGTACGCATCACAAGTCGTCATTTTGTGTCGCGATGATCTCGAGAACCATAAATCGTAGAAAACTCATTGAAACGTCAGATCGAAGTATCAAGATCAAACTTGAGAAATCTTTTTTCTAATTTTTCATCGGACGTTTTGTTTACTCACAAATGTGGTTCCAAAATGACGAAAATGAAAGAAATTTGTCAAGAGATAATTAAAGTGACGTCATGAACATATGTTAGCCACTATAGTCTATTGATGTACAGCTGATCTAAGATAATGAATCATGGAGATAATTAATCGATCAATCGAAATCGATCTTTAAGAATATATCGCTAAGTAAGAATGGAGTTTTCTCAGTGATGAATTTCATTATGTCGACATAAAAAAGTATTCAAGATTTCTCTGAATTGAAGATTTTTCCTGGATCGAGATTCCTGCTTCGCATCGCATTTTGTATTCGAGTAAAACTTGAATACCATCTAGTTTCTTTTTGATACTAAAATGCTTGTCTGTTGCAAAAAGTTAAACTCAATGTTTAATCTGCTAACTATCAGTATTGGTTTTATTGCTTATATATACATTTATTAAGAAATAAAATGGGAATAAAAAGTCGACTTCTTTTTTCTATGTAAAACACATGTGTTTTGAAGAATTATCGTTTGTGTAATATGTCCCTCCATCATAGACACATCTAAATTATGAACTGCTACTACTCGTTAACAAAACAGAGTTATGAAACTAAGAGATCTGGAGTAAAGTTGACTCCAGAAAAGTACACTCAGAATCATAGTGAATGAACATTGATACGTATTCAAGACAATTTTATTTTTTATTTTCACAATGGCTATTTTGCAATGAAATAATATTATGAGAATAAACATCTGTTCTCTGTCTGAAGCTACCGCATCGATAACCCAAGTAGTTCATCATGCCATTTCACGTATTTCGACAGAATTTATTGCCTTATTAGCATTCTGGTGCAACTGCTTAGCTAGCCGACTGAACCTGTTAGTTAGCATCAATTTCAGAGACCTATATCTACGCAGCATTAAATAACTAAACAATATCTAAGATATTCCTTATTTTTTTTTCTTCAATAAAAAGCATAAAATAACAATCAACTGGATTTTCGACAGCATATCACTAGTCATCCCATCGTCAACATCTGAATAAATGATTCAGATCTACGATATTGTTTCTTGAATCAATAATGTTGAAAAAAAAGTTGAAAGGTTTTCCATTTTCTTCTTATCACTGTTGTAAATTAAATTCACTTTTAATTATATGCTTTCGACGTTAAGACTAAAATAAAAAATGTGATCATCGATGGAATGAATGAAACAAAGTATCCAACCAAATACAATGATGGTTCTCTTGTTGATTTCATACATTCAGAAGAAAAAGCCAAAATCAAACGAGGTAAACTTAAGATAATCAAGAAACTTGAACTGATAATTAGATTTCTATGTTTATAATATTGTTCCTTCAAGTTTTCCACACGTATGAGGTTTCTTTGTTCACCGCCGTACGTTTCTTTGCAATAGAAACAATGATCCCAATCGTTTATATAAGTTTAAGTTCAAATGGAACGATAAAATGAAAAATGTCTCTAAATGAATTATAGCTTTCAAAACTTGACATTAAGCGAATCAGACACCTGTCTACAAAAAAAGTTTTTTTTTTCAGAAAAAAAACTTGTGGATAAAAAACTCACTGAGAAGCAGAACAAATTAAAGGATATAAATGCGTACAAAATAAAATGCTTTTCAACGACATTTTAAAGTCGTATTTTAAGTTGAAAAAAACCGTTATAAATAAAAAAATAATGCATTTCAACGTGTTACATACACAAAACCATGTGTTTGAGCGCGTTAGAGAGAGAAACGATGTGATAAAACGATAAACCAGCGTTTTCTTCTAAAAGTTTGCGTTAAAACGCTGTTTCATACGATTTATTTTTTCGTGGGGAGACAGATGTGAGCAAAGGAATAATACAAATAAGTAGTTTTGCCATGTTTTTTACTTTTTCCAAGATTAAAAATAACATCGAGAATAACAGTAGCAAGTCGTTCGATAACAACAGATGCATAATACCAATCAGTAATGGTCAATAAAACTCGGAGAATAAATGCAGTTGAAATGCAAGTGAACAAGAGGAAAGATCGCGAAGTTAAGGATTGACATTTGAGAGAGAATACGAAATCATAATTTTAAATTCGAACCGACTATAGTGAGTATCGATGATGCAACAAGATATGCACCACAGGCCACTTTCTCACACGCTTTTGATTGAAAAGTTAGAATTGATAAAATTCCGAAAACTAAACCAACAACTAACACTATTGTTGCTATAGTAATACTAACTTGAACATGTATGGATTGCCTCGTCATTGATACATATGGACGAATCTGATAACCCAAAACTGCATCAAGTGAGAGACCAAATTGTTGTGTGCTAACCCAGGTGAGTGAATCCTAAATCGGGTCCAACCAGCCTATAAAATTCGATGGGATTTCGGGTCACGGAACCACTAACGGATCCGACGCAAAAAAAAGCATTTAATTAATTCACCACTAATTAATACCTCAAGCCAACATTAGAGGGTAGTCCGAATCGAGCGTTGGATCCATCACAATCCAACAGGAGGATCCGATGATTATACAATGTTATTCTGACACTAGAAATCCGAGAGAAATTCGCTGGTTTATTGGAAATTTATATAAAATCCGATCGGAATCCTATAGGATCTTGAGGGTCCGATTGTCGGAATGATCCTCCTGGGTAAGGCCGCAGTTACGAGTATTAATTTAAATCCGAATGGATTCTGACAATCGGCAGCATGTCGGATGCAATCATCCGAATTCATCGAATTGAAACACATCCGATAGAACCCGATTGCCGACTTTTGACTTGGGATTTTATCATCTATTTTCTACTGCAACCTTGTAGGCTGACGAATATGCTTGCTGTATTGCTATCAGTTTATGTTAAAATGATGTGGAATTTTATCGGTGCTATCATTTGTTTTGCTAGAAGAATCAGCAGTGAGTCTGTCTTACTCAATCATGTGGTCAAAGAGATACCATTTTTTCCGGCCATCTCTACCTCGCCAACACAAAAAATAGATGAATGAATGCGACGCCTGAAAAGCACCTAGAGAGTAGCTCCATTTCTCCAACGAGAAATCAGGCTATTCGGATGTGCGTGTCGTAGGTAAGCATTTCAAAAGCAATACCATGCAATACTTTCATCGATGCCCTTTTGAGTGCATATATACAAACAAATGTGTTCAAATCAGTATGGATATACGCTGGTAAACGATTGTATTGTGAATTGCGCCATTTTCTGATTGCTCAATGAA